TAAAAATGTGTGTGTGGTTGGGGGGGGGGGGGGGGCAATTGCAACAAATAGCACATGTTCATAATTTAATTTTTTTCATTCTCAATTTGGCTTTTTGTCCTAAATTATTCCTGTTTAACTGATGTTAAATATTTTGCAAGTTGCTTTTGTGTTTTATGACAAGTTAATGCAAAAGTTCAAATTGTACTTTCAAATCAAAACCAGCAGAGGTCAGCAAACAACTCATTTAAAGACACCAACGCTCTCGATTTCCATTTTAAGTCTAATCCTCTTAAACGTCTACAAAACCTTAATATCACATAAGTTATAGAACAGTAAAGCACTAACTAATAGAGATAAAGCATATTTTGTAGCCTATAACGTTCTGTAATAAAGGCAGCAGTCACTGGAAAGTAATAATTCGCTGTCATTTTTATAGTATCTTTTGCATTTTAAGATCAAGGTTGAGGATGGGAATAGATGGAGAAAACAGATAAAGCTAACATATTGTGAATACATTACGAGCATATAAAATTTCACTAACAGACCAAAAAAAGGTTTCTGAAAGGTTAAGCACTTATAATAATAAAAAGCCTTCAAAACTGTACCATTAGAGTGGACCCTTGACTATATTGGCTTGACTTTGACTATAATTTCAACTACATACTCTATAAACTTTACATGAAAGTCCAGAAGAAAAGAGCATAAGTGTAAGTGGCTGAGCCAGTAGGTCAAAGGTCACAGCTGGGTTTTATGGGATCATGTTTTAAAAGAGCAGAAGCGCTTAACACAAACTGTCCATTGCACTTTGGACAAGTCAGACGTCCAGCTGGAAGGACAGGTCTTGTGGTGCAACAAGAACCTGTTGAACAATGGAAAAGTGTGCCTTAGCTTAAAGAGCATGTGGGCCATGGGACCTCAAAACCCTTGTAAACATTCTGACAACTGTACCATTCATTCACACTCTTTTTAGTTCTGTCACATACAAATAAGCACAAATACAATATTTCAAGTGACTAGACAGACTATTCAGTCTGCTGCAATCCCAGATGTTTATGTTCGTTTACTAAAGCCTCATAAGACTGTGCTAGCTTCAGTGTTGCTGATATTTTTCTTGCTGTTTTGCTTTGACTTTTCATATTGCTTTTTTGTAATGTTCATGCTTTTTAAATGTATTTGTTAATGGCCAGCCTTGTGAAACTGCCTAAGGACTGAAATGCTTTTATGGTATTTTTATTACCTTTGGAACATAATCCCTGTCATTATATGGGAACAAAAATGTTCATTTTATTTTCCAGAATAAGAAAATAACAGCATACAGCTTAAAACAACATGAAGGTAAGTAAGAATTCTCATTTTTGGGTGAACTATTCCTTTAAATCATTTACTTTCCTGTTTCCAACACGTTAGTTCATTTTTATTCATTTGCAGCATTTAGACTTTGTGTTTACCATCTGCTTTTCTCATTAGGTGTCACAGCTGTTTTACTGCATTAACCCCTTTTATCCATATCAAAGTAAAAACACTGGGAATATGTTGTGGTTTCATTCTGCCTAATGAGTACCATTCAGTAAAAATATACAGTGTGGAGGAAGAATTGAATTATTTCATACAGACTGTCAACACCTCTTGTAGAGAAACATATGGTGTTATGGCAGTGCTCAATCTTCATCCAGTGAATGTTATTCACATCTTCTTTGAGAAGGAGTGGCACGCCCTTGATAAAAACAACAGATGGCCTCTGGTTATGTGATTCCTTCACAAAGTCTCGCAGGCATCACAACAGACTGTGTTTAACTTTCTCGGATTAGAACTTTGGCTTATTATTATTATGTTGATATAAGCAGCCCAGCAGTGGACAGTCAGTGAAGAATAATTCTTGTTAATGCTCAGTAAGGTCACCATAAGCAGAGCCATAACTTGTGGATTATGTCACAGAAGAGCAAAAACAGCCATATTTTCTTTAAAAGATGTAGGCTACAGACAATATTACCCTCTGGTTCTCTATTCAGACAGGAAGTAAGATCAATTTTGCAAATCATGGGTGTTTCTTCATCTGTGGGCACTTCTAGCCCTGTGGACATTTAGAAACAATTTTCACACTCACATAAGTACTATTTTTTTAACAACAGACAAAAGTCACATATTTACACTATACTAATTTTTTTTTTGTATCATGTGTGGCATTTTGTGATGAAAATGACTTTTTATACATTTTTATAAATGGCTCCAACCTCCTTTGTCTTACTACTTCTAATTTAATAGGCAGCATTTTAATTTAGCCTATGTTTTGCATTATGGTCTATTGCACACACCCTGGACCAGACCAACACGAATTCAAAAGCAAGTTCAAGTAGGGATCAGCTGAATGAAGAAGAATTGAATGCTGAACACACCGAGGACAACAGGACCTGTGCGGACTCCCCGTGTTTCTCTGGAGTACTGTGTGAAGCCACTTTCTCTGGCTCCTTCAGATGTGGAAACTTGTCCACACGGCTATAAAGGAAATGGAATTGCCTGCAAATGTGAGCTGCCTTATGATGCAAAAAAAAAAAAAAAAATTGTTCTTTATTATAGTTGATGCTCATGAAAATACCTAAAACTGTCTGGGTCATATTCCAATATAAAACAATAATAAAGTTAAAAAAGTAAATAAATTAAATAAAATTCAGTACATTAAATCCAGTCTACCAAGATCTATAAAGTATTTGGTTACACTTTATTTTAAGGTGTCCTTGTTCCAGTGTAATTATACATATAAGTACTGAGTAATATGAATTAACTATGTACTTACTATATGGTTTGGTTTAGGGTTACTTGCATGTAATTATGCATAATTAATTGTTATTATAATAGTAAGTATTTTAGTACTATTTTTATAATAGTAAGACACCTTAAAATAAAGTGTTACCAAGTATTTTTATCTTTCAAATGCATTTATTATTTTATTAATATTTTATGAATAATAAGGAAAATATTCATAACTTTACATGTAAGTAATGTCACAAAATTATAAAGGATTATTATTTTTTTTTTTGCTAAATATATTTTCTATTTTTTTCTGTTGACTTTAGCACAAGAATTTTTGTGATCTTGACCTTCAAATATTATTAATATAATGAATTTATCAAATGGATTGTTTTAACATAATTTAAACATTTCCTGTGTGTGTGCGTGTGTAGCCGTGTGTCGTTATCCTTGTGGTCAGAATATGGAGTGCTCACAGCCCAACACTTGTACCTGTAAAGAGGGCCACATCGGTCAGTTCATTTAGCTTGACAGACATTTATAGATTCAATTACTCATTTTAATTGTTATTATGACTCATTTCAAAGTCACACCAGTTATGTCTTCTTCCATCAGCTGTGTGCCGACCAGACTGCAAGAACAAAGGGAAGTGTGTGAAGCCCAATGTGTGTGAATGCCCTGCAGGGTACAACGGCTCCACCTGTGAGGAAGGTGAACTCTGTCTTTAGTACCTTACTGCACGCTGACATTTACAGATTCATATGTATAACCATTTTCTTTACAGCTTTACATAATATGCATTTTAGAGGATATTATATAAATTTACACATTTTTTTAAAATCTTGTCTCTCAGTCAACTGTGACCCGCCTTGTCAACATGGTGGCCGCTGTTTGTCCAGAAATCACTGCACTTGTCCTTATGGCTACGTGGGGCCAAGATTTGAAACTAGTGAGCAGACATTTACAAATTTCTAAATACCAAGAATTTTGTTCATAATGATTGTGTGCCATTGCCTTTGTGTGTTTTCAGTGGTGTGTAACAGACATTGTGAAAATGGTGGCGAGTGCGTGTCACCTGATGTCTGTAAGTGTAAACCCGGCTGGTACGGACCAACGTGTAACTCAGGTTCGCCGTTTCATCCTTAAAGTTTGATCACAAATGTCTGTAAAAAAAATTATTTTCTCAAAAATTAATAGGAAAGTTCACCCAAAAATGAAAATTACCCCATGATTTACTCAACCTCAAGCAATCCTAGGTGTGTATGACTTTCTTCTTTCAGGCGAATACAATCGGAGTTACATAAAAAAATATCCTGGCTCTTCCAAGCTTTATAATGGCAGTGAATGGTGGTCGAGATTTTGAAGCCCAAAAAAGTACATCCATCCATCATAAAAAGTGCTCAACAGCTCCGGGGGGTTAATAAAGGCCTTCTGAAGCGAAGCGATGCGATGCGATGCGTTTGAGTAAGAAAATATCCATATTTAAAACTTTATCAACCGTAATCTCTAGCTTCCGCTAACTGTAGTATGCACGTCCACGAGAGAGTGGCGTTCCAGCGGATGATGTAGGACGTAGGCAAACGCAGTGACGAACGCAAAAGTACAAAGGAGAGAGCAAAATAAAACACCGGTCATGAATTAGAAGTACAAAATGAGGATTTGTAAAGAAAAATGTTGGAGGATTTCGATATAAACCAAGAGGAGACTGGTTTTCCTTTGCTTGAAACAAAACTTGTTTCTCACGAGACTAGCATATTCTCACCAGAGCTTACGCTACACCTACGTCCTACATCATCCGCTGGAACGCCACTCTCTTGTGAACGCAGGTACGACAGTTAGCGGTAGCTAGAGTTTAAGGTTTATAAAGTTTTAAATATGGATATTTTTCTTACTCAAACGCATCGCTTCGCTTCAGAAGGCCTTTATTAACCCCCCGGATCCATGTGAGGCACT